AATACTTCTGCCGGTCATCTTTAGCCGACTTTGCTGTCAGCTTTCGAAGTTGATGGAAGGAGGCATCGTTGCGGGACCTGGCTCAAGTCGTCTCGGCCGACAGCGGCAGGGCGAAATTTTTTGGATCGGGCTTTAAGCTGACAACTTCGTGGAATCCGGATAGGAGGCGGAGTGGGAGTAGGGACAGCAGAGATTAAAAAGCGTTGGAGAATCATCATTCGTTTCGGTTGCGCGCGATATCGCGTCGAGCACCGATTGAGACAAGGGTGGGATGGTGTATCATCTTTCGGTAGTTGGTCTCAAGAAACAGCGGCTAGAACTCCCCAGCACTGGCATTCGTACAGGACCGACCACGAAGACTCCAGACACAGATGGGAATAGATAGAACGGCGGGTTCACATACAATAAACGCCAATACAAGTGAACATGCGAGTCCCAGCGATCGAGTCGTTTTCTTTTCAATACATTAAACGCCCACGAAACCCCCGAGCAGTGTCTACAGAGACAGTAGTATTACTCATAGCCCGTCTACTTTGCAAGAGACCTATTTCGAGACACTCAATTTATCTATTTTTTAAGCTGACAGCCGGTAATCTCGATTGGTGGATTTTTCTAGTCCTGAAAAACCGCTGACAAACACCAGTCTTAACGAATACTTCAGCTACCTCAGTTACCCGAAATACTGCAACCGCAGATTGTCGTAGCTTGGAGCTGGTATGGCGACATAATCATCAATTATTTTTAAGCTTCGTAGAGATGGCGTTCAATCGTAACTGCTCCAATACTTGTTAATCCCTACTAATGCATCACGGACTTCTTACGATATTTTAAGTCAGTCTACTTTGTTGGAGAACTAGGCGGCGAAGACAAGTAGGGCAGAAAAGATAGAGTAGACTTCTTGCGTTTGTAAGGTTACACCAAACAACCAAATGCAATAATAAGTAACTTACGTTTTGGAGTTTCCTGTATTTCTTCTTCTTCCGACCGAACTGTAAAGGAGCGAGGCAACAATATGGTCAAAGAATTGAAATACAGAAAATTCATAGAATTAAGAGGTGAGGAAACTAACAAAAGAACCTAACAACTAAAATACGATGAAGAATGATACCATATCTAGCTTGAGCAGGGAGGGATGAACATCGTACTACCGATCGATGTGTCTTTTAGGAAATTGGGAGAACAAATAATACTGTACCAATGGCTTGAGCATGCCTGAAACGTTTTCTGGTAAGAAC